TTCGGCGAGTGAAAACCGTAAAGAGATGAAAAAAAATGAACACTTGTACTCCGTTACAAAATTTTATCCGGACAAGGATGGAATCACGTGTTTAATGTTTCTTTTTTTGTTTCTCACACCAATATTATTTATTTTTGTTAAAGAATGTTATCTTAATTTTCAATTTTCTTGGAAAGAAATTTTGTGAAAGAATTGTTAGTTTGTCGCAAAATGTTTCTACCATTTTTTAGAAAAGGATGTCTCATATGAATGTTGTTCTTAAAAATAAAACAAAAAACATATGAATGTGTTAGAATTTTTTTTTTCTTTTGCATTAGAATGTTTTTAGTCTATCATCCAAATTTATTATATTTAAATTGGCTTAAACGTTGTTTACCTATTGTTTTCGGAAATTTTTTAATCACTACGAATAATCACTAGAGACCAGCTCCTGCATATCAAACAAACACGTAAAAACTACGAAAACATGATTAATTAATATTTTCCGACAGTTATCTGATGCTCAAGTAAAAAAACAAAAAGATAGAGAATATAAAAAACATTGGAGAATCGTGGAAACAAGGAAATAGATGTCGAAAAACATGAAAGAGAAGGAAAAAGTGACATCGGGCCGAGCAAGAGATGGCCAACGGTGTATCAGAATGTTTAGGAAGATAAATTAAGAAGAGATATAGTGGAAAAACATAGTATCTAGTGAGAATCCGGTTAAGGAATGACCGGAGAAGAAAAAAAAGTCTAGGTGGAATCCGCTGAGAATGAGCCTAAATAGTTGAAAAGAAGTTTAGGAACTCAAGGGGTTAGACCTTAGTCTCGAAAGAAATGTGCTCAGTCTAAGATTTTTTTTTTTGTATGACATTTGGATCCCTTTCTAAAGTGAATAAGGGGAGTATTTATAAACTTTGACCTACCCGGGCTTTGTTACCGGCCTCCACGTCGTTAATTGGGTTGGGTTTGGATCTTTCAGTTTGACCCGGTACGATGCACTCATATGCTTTTCACCTAACACCCTTGTCCCCTTGTGCCAAATGACCGACAATATGGTTTTGCATCATTGAACCAGAGCTTTTTCGTACTGTGGACACCGTGTGATGTGACGTCGGGGTATTCCTTCGAAGTCAGTTCTTTGTGCTTTAATCGGTTCTCGGGTGAAGAGCATTTTTTTTTTACCTCGACACGCATAAGGTGAAATTTTTTACCCTTTCACTGAAGACTTAAACTAAACTATTTGAAAGAATTTGAACTTAACGCTTTAAAGAAGATGTTTTATACTTTGTACGAGTTCGTGATACGAAAACTCGGGCTCCGCGTGCTGCTTCCGGGTGCTGATGGAGATTCATGCTTGTTGAGCCATTCAGGTTCCGACCCATACCATCCATATAACGTAACAAAATATCGAGGATGGGGATTAGTCATTGGTGGCTTTACCCACTAAGCGACTTGGGTTACTGCAGAATCAAAACCAATATCTTTAAGGTGTTCAGAGCCTTGTGGTCAAGTGGTAAAGAGACGGGTTTGTGATGCCAACACATTACAAGTTCGATCCACCTGCTACGCGAAACTAAAACATATTGCTTTGGCTTTGGACACCCACATGGATATGGACCCTTGTTTTCGGCCTATTTGCATATCCGGAGAGAGAGTCTATCCATGGGCTACACCTCTCCCAGGAATTAGCCTGGGCATTTCCATAGTCTGGTATTTACCCTGAATTATCAAAAAAATAATATATATATATATCTTTAAGGTTTGAATCAATATACTAACTTCTTCAATTGTAGTTCGGACCCCGCCTAAGCCACTAAACCGAAGAGATATGACATTAGACGATTCACTTAAGTCTTAACTTAAGATAAATTGTTTTATCTCCAACACTTATCTATAAACTTCATTGGGTCATGATATAATTTTTATCTTCAAATATACCTTTACAAAATTGTGTGGTCTTCGTTTGCATCCAACTATTGTGAGATTTGACGGTTCCACAAAATTTAGATTTGACGGTTCCACAAAATTTAGTAGAATTTTTTATTATAAAACAATTCTAATAAAAATGTTCAACTCAAATTTCCACTTTATAACAAAATTAATCCACTAGTTGTTTATTTTCAAAGGTTTGATTTGTTAAAATTTAGACATTACACCAAAATACATACTTCGAATACAACTAACCAACATAACAAATAAAAATGTATCGTGTAATAAGTTTGTTGTAGAAAAATGATTAAATAAAACGTTGCAATGATCGATAATATAATTGTTTAACATAATATTTTTTTGGATGTCGATATCGAGTTCAATTGCACTTGAGATATAACCATATTACATTTTTTTTCTTTTTAATTATAATGACCATATTACATGTTATAATCGCCGATTTGAGGAAATTTATGGGATTCGACTAAAAAAAAAAA